TAGATTGACAGACATTTCAGTTGCTATGTAAGCAATCATAACTAGATTTGACATGACATTTCAGATGCTATGCTAAGCAATCATAACTAGATCAGATGCTATGCTAAGCAATCATAACTAGATGTGACATGACATTTCAGTTGCTATGCTAAGCAATCATAACTAGATTTGACATGACATTTCAGTTGATATGCTAAGCAATCATAACTAGGCTTGCATCTTGACTGCTGACCAACTTGTTTTCTAACTACATTGTTAACATTATATAGATATGTTAAATTGTTGCACAGATGAAATGAAATGTCATCAAAGAAAAGTTTTGGTGTAATGTGTATATGTGAACAACACACATAAGAGTCAGATGCAATAAATCTCTTAACACAGCATGGTACATATTTCCATGTAACGATCTTCACATGGATGTAATTTTATCGTCAGGTTGTTGATCAAAGTTCAGACATTTCTCTGATTATGAAAATGTTTGTTCCTAATGCTGCATAATTTAGAGGGAAAATATATGTAGCCTAGTGTTCAAAGATTTCATAAAAAAAATTGTGCATGGTGTACTTTTACACCACTTAGCTATAATTCTTTATGATCATAGGATTATTTTTACCAAAAAATTACATTTTCTTTAAATATTGATCAGAGACTGCATCCACGTTATTTCTTGGTGTCCAAGTTTTCCATCTGTTGTCTGTGTGTTCGCAAAGTCTTGCCTCAAGCATATTTAGCTTGATCTTGCATTACAGTCATCACAAATAAATACATGGAAAATATTACAATGAAACAAATAAATCATTTCTCATGACAACTAGGATATATTGTTTTTTTATTTTAATTGTATTCCCATCTTCATGGCTAATCAAAAAAAATCTCATTGATAAAGTCAAATTGCAACTCTTATATGAGGACACAAATGCACAGGGTTACAAAATACACGAGTGAAGTTGGACATATTTGATGATTAAAATAGACCCAGGCATCAGAGCAGGTAAGCGTGCACAAATTGATAGTTAGTGTGGGAGACCACTTTGCAGACTAGCTATGAGAAATACTCATGAATAGATAATGACCAGTTAAATGATTATTAATTTACTGAGGTGTGCTAATTGTTAATGTTCAGAGATGTTAATTAATTAATCAATTACCTATAGTTATTGTTGAATTCTTAATTCAAGTAAAACCTAATCTGTCAAAATTAAATACAGTTATATCAACTAAAATCTCATACCAGTCTAAATAATTTCTAAATATTTCATAGCCATAAATTTTTTAAAATGACAATATTGGTGAAAAGAAAATTGAGTTCTCAAATCATTTCTAAAATATTAAAATATTTTTATTTTGTGTTACAAAGGCTTGATTGATCAATGTGTTCAGAATTGTTCCATTAAAAGCACTCACTGGCGATTCACCAAAAAACATTTCTAGAACAATGCAATTTTTGTGAGTAATAAATTATATGAGAGCAAATCGTCTTTAATTGTACAAAGTGAAGCCTCACAACCTGAGTTTGTGACTGTAGCTTATACTTCATAGCAAGTTCGCCAGCAGCTATTTGACTATATTGCAATCTCAACAACTAGTCAGAATTTACGTGTATTCTCATCAATTTTCTGGAGTTAAATTTTGAATTTGATTTGACAATAACTATTTTTCCTGAACCACTAGACTCAATTTTTGAACATAAATTTAAATGTAAGGAAAATTCAGTTGTAGAGTTATCAGCTACAACAAATGCTAGGTACAATTTCACAATTAACCACATCAAATTTATTTTCATTCATTTTTCAAAGATATAACAAAATTAAAGAATTTATATTGTGCTGAAACCTGCCTAATGCAAAAATAAAACACATTAGCAATTTACAAAAATTATGTAGGTTACACTGATACACTGATATTTTAAACTAAGGTCATTATTATTGCTTGGCAGACAAACCCAAATTATATTATGATCCCATCCTGATGCATAATATTCCACAGTTTGAAAACTACTGATACCATGCCCTCAAGACAAATGTTAATGACAACATCAATGACCACATCTGTCTATATATATACACACACAGTCACACTGATCTACAATGTAGAAGCCAGTTTGTCATTTCGATTAACTTTTTTTAAATATAAACAACTTTTGTCGATATGATCCATTGTAAATAATTTCAGTATGTATGTATGTAATTGAATGTAAGTATCAAATTAAACAAAATTCAATAAATATGATATATAAAATTTCAAGTACTTTGGTGTCCATTTTGACTTTTCTGAGACTTGACGAACAGAAATCGTTTATTTGGCTGCAGCTCATTTTACAGTAAGTGTATCCTATTTCTAATGCATTTCAGAAATTGCTGTCATCTATATTATTTTTTTGTCTCTAGGGTTCAAAAAATGATCAATTGATTTGAATATGAAACATCTGGGACTAGGAAAAACATTCAAAACAAAATGATTACTACCCAAATGTAATTTAAAATTAGATGCTGAGACTGAGATATAGAATTCTACTTTAGCACCTAGTAAAATAAATAGCTTTCATGGAAAAAAAAGTGTAAATTACTTTAAGCACTGCTTTGAGAATAGGAAGTACAATATATAGTTGCACTTGCACTTAACAAGGCAGTAATTACATTTTCCCTCTAGTCATAATCCACACAATAATAATTTTCCCAACCAAAACATTGAATTCATTTGGGAATTGGTGTATTAAATCAGGCTGTGTGCAGAAGTGCCAACAGCACACATGCTACTATAATCTAGATGTAAATGTACAGATTTGATCTCATTCAAAGAAAAGTCATCTATGACTTGTGCTAGCAGCAACATGTAAAATACTTTGTACACACAAGATATTTTTGTGACAAAATTATTAGTAATACTTTTCGACCTATTTTAAACTTGTTTTACCAAAACTGAAATCTGACTGGTTGGCAGATTGCCAGATTGATCAAATCATAAGTTTATTCTTGGTACTATTCCCACCATCATTTTATTTTCTTATACAAAGATATATGGTTAGGTATGTTATTTCCACTTATATTAAACTGTATCAAGTCAGTAACCTTTAATTAACAAGACAAAAATATAATGATAGTCTATAGTTGTCAGATTTTAAATAATTAAAATACTATCTTAACTATATATTCTCTGTTCAGTATTATGTTTCAATTGCTATATCAAGCGTTGTTGTCCCAAGAATAATACCTATTGTCTGCTCTGCTAACATGGTACTAGTATATAAGTGTATGTCTGAAGGGGTACCAGGAAACAGTTACTAGTTAATATGCAAATTTTCATTATTATTCTAAAGTGAATGACTGTCATTAAAAACAAATCTAAAAATATCCTCAGTATTTCCCACACCATGAGAACATATCATATACCATCTATTGTTTTACACAGAGTACTGAAATGGACATAATGTCAACATAAATAACCAAGCAGCCCGTTTTCTCATGAATCCAATGGTCTTACTGTTCAAATGAAGCCAAATTCCACAAGTGAAAAGTCAGAGTGGATGACTGGCCTTGGGTGACATGCCCTGTGATAAGAAGACTTCATTGTTTCCTCAGACATGTGTAAACATGCTTCAAAACCCTACTTTCAGTTTCTTTCAGCAAGCCCCATAACTCTCCCACGACCTAGTTTTATTACACAAGCATACACACACAATTCTCACCACAATGATTTGGTGTGGATAACACAGAAATTGAGGAAATAAACGAAATGCTATATAATGGACTATCTAACTACATTTTGCCCAGTAAATTATTAAAATATGCAAATGATGACAAAATAAATATAAACTGATATCATTTATAATTGAGTTTGACATAATGAAATTATAGCAGAGGCCTAATCATACAAAAATATTGTTTATTTCGGTGTTATTATTCAAACTGTACATTCAATGCGTGCCAAAATTCAGTGGATATTACGACCACGCGTCAATCTCAGGCTATTCAGGGCTATTCTCACAACTTTTGTATTGCAAAGTACTTTTGAGTTAATTACGGTGACACCAAAACACAGAATGCGTTAGTCAAGAGAGTGATTAGGACACGTGCGACTGCCAGTAGTGTCAGTCACAAAACAACGCAGTGTTTTAAACGAGCGAAGTGCACAACAAAACAAGGTAAAAATTCCCCCATTCATTGCCATACAAATCGTCGATCCAAGTGCTGAAAATAGATTTGATAATGACATGCGGGCTTGTTTTATTAATATTACCAGGACTAGTAGCCCGGATTAGTATTTGTCGTAGCAGCACCCGCTAACTTGTCGTTCACACACAAACACTCTGCACAATATTTTATATGACACTATCAAAGTATCAACCGTACAGCTGTCGTTGTACACATTTATTTCTACTATATAACACTGCGTATATAATCTGCCGCATATTTTTTTTTAAATATTTTGCTTTAAAAACCCTTGCGGAAGCCCCGCTTATTGTTACAACTTTTCAAGCAAGTGTTATGCAACCTAAAAAGTGAATCAATTCGTCTCTAATTTTCGCAAAAAGTTAGGTTGTTTGTCTGGAAAGTGTGTTGGAATTCGTTACAATGTAGCGATAGTACTTCCGAGATGGAGGGACTTTCCGAAGGACTATCCTCATCCCCCGGTGTCACAGCGACGATGTCAGATAATTAAGACAGCCACCAAAAGAGTGAATAGACAACAATGTCAACCAGTCACACACTACGATAAAAGTCTAATAATGTTGGTTGTCCTGGACTGATCGTATGCGTAGCACACTGAAAATTGCAAAACCATGGTAAAACAACACGACACGTTAGACGCTATTATTATTACTCCTGGTCGAAACGGAAGACACCAATAGACTAGATTTTTCAAACGTGCAGTAATAATATAATAATACTTACCATCCACCGAAACTCGAATGACAATTTTAAACGGGCCGCAGCGTCCTCTGCCGGAAGAGTAAATGAATTGCCTCCTAATATTTGACTGTGTGCTTTTCCGAATGTACAAGGTCCATCTCTAGTTACTGACGATTGGAATTCCTTCAAACAAACTGAGACTTGCGTATCACACGAGTCTTGCGTGCACGATCCGTCCGGATCAGGGACCCCGTCACAACAATCCCCGTTTTCCAATTCACCAGCAGCATTCCAAACTGACAAAATTTGCAGTTCAAAATATCCAGAACCAAGAGAGGCCTAAAGAGGAAAATATGAAGGGAAAATGACATCAGTAGCGAAACTCCACCAAAAGAAAAAATAACTGGAGGTAAATGAGAACATGGGAAGAGTGAAGCTGAGCGAAGCATGGAAGTGAATGTGTGGATGTCTAACGTCATCACGAACCTTGGTAAAAGTTAACACAATCAAAGCAGCAAAAACCATCCTGGGACACATGCCGAATAGCTCACTTGGCACGACGCCTCTGTTGACGTAGTAAAGGAAGGAAACGCCGCCGAACGGCACCAAAACTCGTTTAAGTAAGGCATGCAACTCGCATTGATATCCCGCTTGTGAGTGAGAGCCGAACGTTGGACAGATGGATTGCTTTGGAGGTTCACTTAAGGCGCACACTAAGTGCGCAGACTCCGTTCAATTATATTACGTGCTGAGCAGGCAGCCAATGTCTATTGGACCTCGATAAAACTTATGACGTTTTAGGTAAACAACTTGACCAAATAGCACCGAAAGTTGATATAGCATCTTCAAAAATGTTCAGGAATGTGCTAGCGTGTATGTTATACGGTTATAGATTATACTACCGTCACAAGTTTGGCTAAATGACATATGTGTTGGCAGCGTCACGAGTTTGGCAAGCGCTCGCCCCCTTGTACTAAACAGTCATTTGTGTCTAATTGGCGAACACACTACAAATGGAGCAGACGCCGCTGGGACACGCGTAGGCAATTTATTTGGAGTTAAAAACAGCCCGGTGTTATTGGATTAACGGGATGTGTTGTCCAAGTGATCATATGCGCAACACTAATACCAACTGACTTCACACGTAAATACCAGGCTACGCGGAACTCATTGCCGTACGCAGTTACATTTGTACCACCATATTTACAATAACTCGCTGCAATTCATTACGCAGTAGCCGGGGACACGACAGGCTACACTTGCTACTTTTTTTCGCACGCGTAAGGACTTCATTCGCTCGCTGATGAATTTAATTTATCGCAAAGAAGACCCCTACGAAAATCAATTTGGATGTTGGATTGTAGGATATTCCATTCATGAAACAAGTGAATGAATATAAATATATGGAAGACCAGTTTTCAAATGATGTACCAGTGTTACGAATCTGATCTACTACTGTACACACGGTTTTAATTCATTTGGTATTAAACAATGTGCAGAATGTCAATTGGTCTCTTATCAAACGACAGTCGGAATTCTCACTACGTATGGGCACAATAGTGGAGTCAGGCGGAGTAATCTTTAAAAACTGCCCTTAGCCTTTTTAATAATGTGTATGTGTAAAATGCAGGTTAGGGACTCAAGTTACCGCATGAAAAGAATATGTGTTATTTGCAAAACAAACCCATGATGTAGTACGATATATTCTCATCAACAATCGCATTCACTTGAACATATTATAAGGGATTTTTAGAATAGTCTCTTTCCAATGGGTGTGACTTTGAGTTCTGTTTGTTTTCTGATTATGTCACATTTCTTGTAAAGTTCTGCATACTTTCTCACTGCGGGGCACTGCTATTTCAAATCACGTTCTACAACGCCGCATATATTAAGTCATCACTAGATGTGTACTTATATGCTGATGTTAAGTACATTTTCTATATTTTGTTAAAATGTGATTGTTAAAAATAGCGTATAAATGTACTAGTTATTCCACGTGGGAATTGCAACATTAGAACTCATATCATTTTATTTCAATTACATATTGATGTGCACATTTGCATAATGTCTCTTCACTAGCTGCAGCTGGCCCCATTCCCGCTTCACGCTTCTCTAAGTTCACTTATGTCGGGTGACTTTCTGTTGCAACCATGCGACGCATACATGCTTTTTAGTCGTGAAATTAGATTCCACAAGTGCATAGTTAGATACAGTTTTAAACAATATACAATTGTGCTACTTTTTTCTGTGTCTAGTTTGTATATTTCGCCCATTCAATGATTAATTGACACCACTCGTTGGGAGTTACCACACGGCGGCGCTCTCCGCCCAGCTTGATATTAGAGCGAATATACTACCTACCCGTATTAGTGGGACGGGCAAGCTAAATGTGAACGGATTTGACGGTTATAATAATAGCTGATCAAAGTAAGAGGAAGTGGGGTTGCCCTGTTACTTGCTGATCAAAACAAAAGATGTACAATATGGTTCAAAATGTGATAAAAATAAAAAATATTCTGTAACAATATTCTCTGCCAAACTCGATGTGGCAAATATAATTGTAAAACCTTTATTTCAACAAAAATGGAGCTACCCCTCATATCGGAAAGTGGCTGCTATATATAGTGGCGTGGCTTTCTTTGACACTCGCGCTGCCGGCCTATTATTAATTGTCCACTGTAGTTGATGTAGGTTCAGGTTGCTTGATTACCAGTTACGGGAATCTGTGTGATTTAGCTTCTTTTTGAGTTGTGGGTTCTCGGCAGAAATTCGGTAACCAAGAATGTGGTAACATTCAACAATATGTTAACGACATTGCAGCAACATTTTGTTAATAATTGACGTCACTTCTGTTGGATATTTCACTTTGTCACATCGATATGTCACGTGATGGATTACTAGTATAGGGTACTACTAACTCCCCATTTGTGATATTTCTTTTTCCAATCGAAGCGCTCAGCTGAGCTTGGTCAACACGCATGATCACATCTATTAATATCTCATAAAATCTCTATGATGTACAGTATTTTCAAGTTATCATTATTTTGACGGTGTTTGATTTCAGGCATGCGTGCACGATCTGCACATTCTTAGCTGTAAAGTAGAGTGGAAACTACTAGAAGAACAAAGGATGACGAGGTGATGGGAAGCGAAGGGTGATGCACGCACATGGCACTGTTCCCATTACCAAACATACGTGTTATGTAAGGTTAACCTTAGCAATTTAAAAATTCTATGAATTTCTGACATTCAAACGTGAAATTATGCTATTAGATTTATAAAATTTCGGGAGTTCGTTAATCACATTGTTTTAGTATGTGCAGTGCACCACAGTCCGTAGGCAAGGAGACAAGTGGAATCATGGCCGTGTAGTTCTAGACTTTAGTGCGAAGGTGCCGTATCTCAGTACAATTACTAAAAGCTACGGGATACACGTTAGTGTGAAGTCAAAAATCACTTGTTAATTCATGGCTAAATATGATCCTTTATTAAACAGGTTATGCTCACAGCCGGGCATCATCATTGGAAGGACATCGTCTCTCACAACACGCTATCACACCATGGGCCAATTATAGACCCACACGACTGCTTCATTGGTTACACATGTTGGTCGCGCTTTAAATCAAAATAGAGGAATTCCGGATGAAAAATCATCTCTCTAAACAACTCACGAAATTACTATTTGTAGCCAAAATAAGCACTGAATTACTACTTAATCGGTTTATAACTTATTAAATACAAAATATCTTCCGGTCATGAGATGCTTATTGCAAAACAGGACTTTAATGTTTACTAAATCAACACTAGGCACGAGTCAATAGCCCGTAGATACGGGGCTTCCTTACATGCCAAGTAGCATAAACATGTATTTTTCTTCTTTGTTTTTTCGGCATTTAATTGAAAACTAGTTGACCTTGACACCAGCTTCGGCTACGCGTGGGTTTAATGAACAATTTGCACTTACAACAGTGTGCGATAATTCAGTTATTCTCCAACAAATGAGTGTTAGTTGGAGACATAATAGTACTGCAGCAGTGCGTATTTACAGGCACCAACACAGTCACTACGGTGAACGGAGATAGTAACCAGTTACCCTGATTACCATATTCCATATTTGAAAAACACAAAATTACCTTGACATAATGGGGGTCTAGCATTGTATTTAGTGTGGTCGGAGCATTGTGATTATTGCCACGTTTCACAAACCATAGATCTTATAATACAATGCCATCGCTTTGCATAGTCGCTGCTGGATATATGGTTGTAGATAGATGTAGATGTACTAGTTTGTAGCATGGCGTCCATTGGCGGATTTAGAGGGGGCCGAGGGGGCCGCGGACCCCCTATTTTGAACAACCAACAGGGCTTCGCGCCATCTTATCGGCCCCCTGTTCCAGAATCCTAGATCCGCCCCTGGCATCATTGTCAATTTCATATATACACCGTTAACCAATTTCGATTCATTTTTACTGGGTACATGAACAAGCATTGTACTTATAGCATTCGTTACTTCCATCAGTACTATCCCGAGTCTGATAGCATTATTCGATTCTCTGTGTACTGCTGATGGAATGGAGAAGTTATGGTCCGTTAGTCTAGAGTGACATTTTCCATTAGACTCCAGCGACCACAACGTACACCCCACGCTCGTAAGCATCTCATTGATAACATTCTATGCGTACTTCATCGTACAGCGAAAACTATTAAATAAATATTTAATATCTATTGCAATGTTCCACTCCTGTTATTATACACGACGAGCCATTTTGACATGTGCCGTATTGTGGTACAATGACGTACGGTGCCACCGTTGCAGGCACGTGACACACACTACACACCCCAGGGCTACACACGTCGGCGTCAGTCTATCTGTGGCGTGGAATATAGTAACAGCCATTAACAACTATTCTTGCTAGATTCGTATCTGTTTAATGTATTGAAAATGACGTGACATAATCCAAATTTTATTCACTGTTTTTCTATATTCTAAATCGGAGTTTATGCGTATCAAGTCACGTGATTTCAATTTTATGATACCCTCGTTAAATGTATGAGTCACGGTATAAACGCCAAAACATCGGTCGTTAAAAGTGTAAATTGATGTTGGGTAAACCAACATGAAATACATATTACTTCATTGATGTTATTTCAATTTTCAAGTAAAAAATTTGCGAGAAACCTGTCTTGACAGAATTAACCAAATTACTACGTACATCAGTTTATATGCAGCATGCTGTGCCGCGGTATGGTGGTAGCAATCCTCGAATCACTCACTGTGCCGGTATGGTGGTAGCAATCCTCGAATCACTCACTGTGCCGGTATAGTGGTAGCAATCCTCGATATCACTGACGTCATGTTTTTTGTGGGATTATGGTTTTTAATTCAATGCATATATCAATATATGACCTTGGCATCTGTTGTGGAAAGTGGACGTCTTATCAACATAGGTTGGTTCTCGTCGATAGTGTTAATGCGCTTTTTCTTTCAATTATCTTTGTTACAACCATGATTTGTTCAATTTCCA